TTCCTCTCCAAGTATCCAACCGTGGCCAGTTCGGCCTACTTGAAGGCAGGCTGATCAGGGTTGTATTCATCTTTGCCACCATCCGGATTGTTTTCATCTCCTGTGTCGGTATTGTTGTGGCGGGGCTTGGAGCGGCGTTGACGACGCTGATGCTTTGCTTTTTTCCCTGAGGGGTTATCCTCTGTTGCCTCATCGCCATTGGTTTCCTTCAGAGTGTCCATCATATATATATATATATCATATGAGGAGGTGGCTGTCCGCCGCCCTGTGAGCGGTGGTTCCTGTTCTTCTCATGCGTCGTCGTCCATACCGTCGATGTCTTCGGAGTCGAAGTCAAGCACATCGGTTAAATCATCGACCGTGGCAATGAAGTGGGTGGTGGGTGGGCAACGAATTCCTTCGTCGCCTGTTTCCCACTCGAGCCGGACATAGTTCGGCCAAGAGTCTCCTGACAAAGAGAGAGATTTTAACGAGTTTAGCACGTCGCCCAAGGGCGAGTGCTGGAAGATGTTCGCAGCGATGAACTCCATTACCGGAGCCCAACCAGGTTCGGCAGGCTCAGGAACGCGCGGACTGGAACCCGCAGCTGGATACGAGTCCGGGGGTCCGGAGTCACAGGCTTCTTTAGGGGTGAGGCCTGTGTTCGGCTCTACCGCCAATGAGTGTGTGGCCTGCGGGGCGGGGTCCATCCACCCGTCCTTGGGCAACGCAATCTGCTCTGGATTTAGGTCCGGGGCTACTGCAGAGGTGATATCCCGAGCATTGCCCGACAGCAGGTCTAAGCCGTGCTCATCGTGACTGTCCGGCGCTCCCGGCACAGGCCCGAATCTGTTGAAGATCAAGTCTCCACGGATATCTGCCGTGTAGTTTAGGTTTCCGAACCTGACCTGGTGGCCAGGGGTGTAGCTGTCGATCTGCTCCAGCTGGCCAAGCGAATTGGCCCGCAGTGCGAAGCCGCCGAACACGAAGATCTGTCCGGGGAGAAAAGTCTCACCCTGGACCGTGTTGTTAACGATTGAAGGAGCCATTAAGCCTTGCAGCGACGACACAGAGGAACTCTCAATGAAAGCACCAATGTCGGTGTCAAAACCGGCGAATCTCGGGTAGGGGGTCCCGATCTGTGCGTCTTAGGCTAATGGTAACAGGAAGCAAGGGACACAATGTTTACCCAGGTTCGGGCCCTCTCGATGGAGGTAAAACCCTACTTCCTGCTTGATTGGTATTGATGATATGAGTAGTACAAGAGTTGATCTACCACGAGATCGTAGAGGCTAAACCCTAGAAGCTAGCCTATGATGATTATGATTGTGATCGTCCCTCTAAGGACCAACCTCTCCGGTTTATATAGACACCGGAGAGGGCTAGGGTTTACATGGAGTCGGTTACAAGGAAGGAAATATGATATCCGAATCGCCAAGCTTGTCTTCCACGCAAAGGAGAGTCCCATCCGGACACGGAACGAAGTCTTGAGTCTTGTATCTTCACGCTCCAACAGTTCGGACAAAGTATATACCCCCTAATCCAGGACTCCCTCAAGCCCTCCACTCTTTCCTGTGCGGTGCAAACCAACAGCCGTCCAGCAGAGAGAAGGCATGGTGTCACCGACAGCAGCGCACCGTGTAGCACCACCGCATTCCGCCACCGGCCGCCGCGAGGGCGCCTCTGCTGGTCACTCTCGCGACCACTTCCAGGTGGTCATACACATGCACTCCTTTTGTCCAGGTGGTGTCCATGGGATCCAGGTGTCTGTACACGTGCACGTTCGACGTGCGGATGGTGTCCACTTTTTGTTAAGGGGTCCAAAATAAAGCGTCCCAGTCCATTTCAGGTTGAGAATAATAAAACAAGCCGAGATGTAAAAGGCTTGTTTTTAGGTGTTAGGTTTGTGTTGCGTCGAGTCATGGTTATAAGTTGGTTAGGCTGCAGCTCGAGGACAAGCTGCATGTCCAGGTGGGGTGTAGTGTTAGAGTACGTAATGGGCCTAATGGGCCCATTAGTCTTAGGGTTAATTAGAGATAAGGGTCGCTTGCTTAGGGGTCAAGTAAGCCTTGCTTGGGAGTCAAGTAAACCTCTCTATATAAAGAAAGGAGATGTATCAATCTAATCAAGTAAGAATTAAGAAGGAAATTTCTTTCCTCTTGCCCGGCCGTGGGCAAAAAGGCCCCCGGCCGGCCCTCTCTCGCCCTCCTTCTAGCAGCGTCATAACACAGTGCCCCATGAATCTCCTGCGCCACATAATTCGCGGGTAATGCTTTTGGCCATGTGTCTTTACGCTAGAACATCCCGTGTTAGAAATGAAGGTTGTGCAAGCCTCCACAGAAACAACTTCGGCTTTGAAGGTACACACACTTCCATGATTTTCTCTAGTGGCTCACATGGCTGGCCGACGAGCTTAGCCTCCCCTCTAGCCATTCCTCCACTACTGCTTTGTTTTTGCAAGCATCTGGTAAGCCAAATGACCGATGAAGATTACAGTCTTCTCAAAATGCCATGCCCAGAAATCTTCACATAGCCGGGCGCTAATTGGGATACCCTTATAATGCCCTACACAAAATATTATCGAAGTCGGGAGCTCCTATTTGGTGCTTCAGGCGGCAAGGAAGCGCACTGGTGCCACGCACCAACATTGGTGGGCTGACCCATGTAGATTTCACATTTATTTCCCCTGGTTCGCTAAATTGCATTAACAAACAAAACGATAAAATTCACAAAAAACACAAAAAAATCATGAATTCTAAAAAGTTTATGTATTTTAAAAATAATCATTAATTTAAAAATAAGTTCATGTATTTGGAAAAAAGCATCAAATTTGTGAAAAGGTTCATGAATTTTGGAAAAAAAGTTTGGCGAATTTGAAAATTTTCATAATTTTTTTGAAAAAAAATCATCAAATTTGAGAAATGTTCACCGATTTTGAAAAAATATTCATTGAATCTGAAAAAAGTTCACCAATTTTGAAAAACAATTTCATCAATTTTTTTTAAAAGTTCATAAAAAATTGGATAAAGTTCATCGATTTGAAAAAAATTAATCAAATTTTAATAGATTGTGCATTGTGAGAAAAATTTAAATAAGAAGGAAAAAGGAAAAAAGATCATAAAAATTAACTAAAAAGAAAGACAATAAACCAAAACCAAAAACCGGTCCGGAAAAAACCCACAACAAAAGTAGAAGAAAAAATGGTTGGAGAAAGTAAATAATAAAAGGAAATATATTATCATGATGTGTCATTTGCCTGGTTGGTTAGTAAACGTAAGTTGGAGGTCGCCGGTTCAAATCTCAGCCGCGCATGTTTTTGCATATTAAACCCGAGAAAAGTGGAACGGACCGGCCTAGCGCGGGGGGAAGGGTGTGCGCCGGTTTGCCAAATGACCTATAACCGGCGTCTGAAGTGCTAAAGAGGAAAAATTTCAAAAAAAGTACTAAATAGGAAACGCTGTCAAAGTCTCAATAAATTTCGCTCTGCCGACTAAGACATGTCAATAAAATCATAAGGTGTAAGGTCTTTGTGAATAATTAATAAAGATGATGCATGCATCACCTAAATGCAGAGGCCGGTGTTCATCCTTCTTCTCTAAAAAAAATAAAATCACAAGATTATGGGCCTCTATATTAGAGGAGAAAAAAAAGCTATTTCTAGCTCCAACACTTTTATGTAACGAGTACAGTAAACCCGGCCCAAACAGCGAGATTCCATTGGACCCAAAAATATGAAGGAGCCTTGCAAGTTCGTGACACACACCCGGACGAGAAAAAACGGTGCCGGGCCGCCTCCCCTAAAATATCTCCGGGCCTCGCAAGGCAAGCTGCGGGAGCACGCAGACGAATGGGCCTCTGACAGTGGACCCCGCTCGACGGGAACACGTAAACCACAAGATCCCGTCACCGCTAAAAAGCTCCCCCCTCCCCCACGTTTCGACGGAGCTCCCTTCCATCTCTCCTCCCCCTTTCTTCTTCCTCTCCACGCCAGCCGCCGCCCGGGACCTAGGGTTTCCCCGCGCCGCCGCCGCCGCCGCCGTCGAATCGCAGCAGGAGGAGGAAGATGGGCACGCCGGAGACCTCGCGGGAGCCGTGCCCGGACCGCATCCTCGACGACGTGGGCGGCGCGTTCGGGATGGGGGCGGTGGGCGGCTCCGTCTTCCATTTCCTCAAGGGCACCTACAACTCGCCCAACGGCGAGCGCCTGCTGGGCGGGGCCCAGCAGGTGCGCCTCAACGCGCCGCGCGTCGGCGGGAGCTTCGCCGTCTGGGGCGGCCTCTTCTCCGCCTTCGACTGCACCATGGTCTTCGTGCGCCAGAAGGAGGACCCCTGGAACTCCATCATCGCCGGCGCCGCCACGGGTGGCTTCCTCTCCATGCGCCAGGGCCCCGGCGCCGCCGGCCGCTCCGCGCTCATGGGCGGCTGCCTCCTCGCGCTCATCGAGGGCGCCGGCCTCATGCTCAACCGCGTCCTCGCCGCGCCGCAGAACCTCCCGCCGCTCCCCACCGACGACCCCAACCTGGCCGCCGCGATGGCGGGGGGAGGCGTCGGCGGCTTCCCAGGCATGCCCCAGCCACCCGTGCCCCCTGTGGAGGTCGTGAGCTCCAGCGGCGGGGGTAGTTGGTTCGGCGGCCTCTTCGGCAAGAAGGAGGAGGAGAAGAAGCCCAGCGGCAGCGGCGGCAAGTCGGAGATATTAGAGAGCTTTGATACGCCCAGCCCTCCGATACCATCGTTCGACTTGAAGTGAAAAAAAGGTGCGGTTTTTCTCTCCGATCTGTATTTTGGATTCAGTTTCAGATGTTTTCTCAGTTCGATCCGGTTTCTCTCTTAGCTTATTTATTACTTGGTGATGAGGAAGTCCGTGGTTATGAGTCCATGTCGTGTACAGCAAGAAGCCTTATTACCTCCTTATATATCAGGGACGATCGATCGTGTTATATATACCATCGTTCTGAACCCCGGGAAGATTTTAGTTCACCACAACACATCGAATCTTCAGATAGGGTTACGCAGCTAATACTATGTCGGCTCCTGTCTCCGAGAGAGATCTCTTCGAGAGAGAACCGTGCCCAGGCCGCATCATTGATGATGCAGGCAGCGCTTTCGCCATGGGTGCTGTCGGTGGTTCTGCCTATTACTTTCTCAAGGGCCTTCATAACTCGCCCAATGGTGCGCGAATTGCTGGCGGCATGCAGGCCGCTCGCATGAACGCCCCTCGACTCGGCGGGAGCTTTGCTGTGTGGGGCACCCTCTTTTCCACCTTCCACTGCACCTCAGCCTACGTGCGCCGGAAGGAGGACCCCTGGAACTCCATCATAGGTGGCGCCGCCACTGGAGGGTTTCTCTCCATGCGGCAGGGCGTCAAAGCTTCTTGCCGCTCGGCACTTGTGGGCGGCTTTTTCCTCGCCCTCATAGAGGGCGCCGGCCTCATGGCCAACTGTTTCGCACCGCAGATGCTCCCGTCGCCCCCTGCCGATGATCCCAACATGGCCGCCGCCATCTCGATGGGAGGAGGAGGTGGCTTCCCAGGCCTGCCTCAGCCTGTCGTGTCCCCTGCAGAGGTCGTGAGCTCAAGCAGTGGGGGTAGCTGGTTTGACGGCCTCTTCGGCAAGAAGGAGGAGAAGAAGCCCAGCGGCAGTGCTGGCATGTCGGAGATATTAGAGAGCTTCGAGGCGCCCAGCCCTCCGATACCATCGTTTGAGTACAAGTGAAAGGAAGGTGCGGTGTTTGTTTGACTGCTCTGATCTGTATTTTGGATTTAATTCAGAAAGGGTGTTGTTTTTAAGTCTCATCAACTCCTTGTTTCTGATACTTTACCTGACGAGGTGGCAATGATTTATTGAGGTGTCTGTTTTAAATGATTCTGCCGCTGAGTTTTTCTTGCTAATGCAACATGCCACTTTATTTTCAGTACTTGTCCATGCCATATAACCAAGAAGCCTTATTACTTTATTAGCTTCCAATTAGAGAACATGATTGATTGTGGTATATAGCTGCTGTGGTTTTATGGTTAATTATATCCTGCTGAGTTCTGCCTCCTACTTCCACCACAAAGCACTAAATCTTCAGGTAGGGTCACACGACAGATACTATGTGTACCTTTCACCATGGGTGTGTGACCCTACCTGAAGATAATTAACGGACCCATGCCCAGACCATATTTTTGATGATGCAGCGCCATGGATTGTGGGAGGTTGTGCCTTCCATTTTCACAAGGCTGCATGCCCTCTAGACTGTAAAACAGCTTTATGTGATCTACGAGTAGTTCAGTTCAGTACGTAGGTTTGTGGAAGACTTTCAATGTTGGTTGCTTCATCTTAAATTATTAGTGGTGAGTTATTGTATGGCTGTCCGTTTATAAGCTGGTTGTTCGTCTGGCCAACGAAACATAACCAAAAATAAAGCATTTGCGAGTATCAAAATTATTGTAGAGCCTGTTATGTTCTGTATGGACATGAGAATAAATCTGTCAAGAATATTAGGCCTGGTCTGCTTTTATCATGTTGTCCTACTCCATTTGAGAACTCATAGATCTGTGTTTCATTGTGATAGGGAATTTTTATCTAGTCCTGGTTATGGATGGGCTGCATTGGCCATTTACTTGGACTGAATTATTTCTTCTGACAGACAAAAGAAAAAAAATGTTCTATCTGGCTTACAAAATTGACATTCCTGTTGATGTGAATGCAGTTTTCTTAACCAATATCTTGCTACATTCTTACCTTTTTATATGATGTTAGGGATTGGTTGTCCCTCTTAGCATCTGAAATCATGTCCCGAACATGCCCCTTGACTGCCTAACCTAACTTGTTAATAAGATATAAATTCCATATTGTACTTACTGGGTCAATAAAATCTTATGCAAGTAGCAGATACGGCTCCCATGGATTTGAAGATATAAAGTAGATTTTGGTTTCAAGCTGTTTCGATGCAAATATGGAAGCACGGAACATGATTTTAGCTTTTTTTTTTCCGGTTATCAGGGATCAGTTATTTCAGTTCAGTATTTTCACAATTCTTTATCCATGGTCCTTGTTCTTCAACTGTACATTTAGGATGCCACCTTGGAACTTAAAAAGAAACAAGCTGCTGTAAGGTCAAGTGCCCCAGGAATGCCTGAGTCATGCACCTCTGTATGCTCATGTGTCTATTGCTCAACTCCCCTTGGACGTTTTACTAGTGAATGACTCTAATTATATATGGAACTAAGAGAAGGTCTCCATCGTTTTGTGTAATCTATCAGATGTATGTTAGACAATATCCGTCATATGCTTTTTAGTTCCGTGCTTTTGTTGTTAAACTATGGCGTGCTTTTGTTGCGCAGTGTGCAGGTTCATGTGGTTTGGTTATTCTGTTGTTGCATCGATTTAGCTCAGTTTTTCCATGCTTGCAATGCTCAAATGATGTAGAGTGTGTGACAATTTGTTCCTACTTCCTGCAGGTAGCTGATGGCGCCGATGCGCAGCGGCGCTCGATCCACAAGTAGTAGTCTGAAGCTGGGAGTGCAATCTACTTCATCTTGGAGGAGGGAGGGGTAGACGAAGTGAGGCTTGCGCAGCTCAACTTCTAGTACTGTTATCTATGGGCCGACCAGTCGCTGGGAAAAGGTTTTGGATTATTAGTTTATTGTACGCGAGCTTTTTAAACTTTGCATGTTCTTGTTGTTGCCGTGGTAGTGATGGTAATAATGCCTATAGCGTCATATGGTGCAGATGTACTGCTGCGCTTGAAAAGCCTTCAACTAATATTACGCCTCTGTCTGTCTTGCTTCTGGTGTGACATGAGGGTTCTTCTGCCTTACTGTTTCGATGTCTGCAGTAGTAAGCACATTGCTTACCGATGGTTTGGTACCAACAAGGTGAGCTGACCAGTTTTGTGGAACTGCTGATGCGCGCTACCAGCGCCCTAGGCCCTGGCCGGCGGATCGGTCCGAGTGGTGGTTCGGTCGGATTCTTCGGTCGCGCTTTCCAGCCTATGGTCATCTGGCTCGTGAGATCAGGAGGTTATCTATAGTGAGGCAGTTCCAGTTCGTTCCCTGAAGTTCTCAATTCTGCATATAGGGCATCCACTCAACTCCTTTCAAGTCAGCCGCTATCCATGTTCTCAGCTCTGCATATAGGAACATCACATGCAGTGAAATCCTGGTTGTTGAAAATGCTATTATTTCTCTCCCTCCGATGTGCCACGGTGCCACCACAAAGCCCCGCATCCAGTGATCATGCCAGAAAGAAGCCCCCTTGCCATCTCCAAGGTGATAGCAGTGGAAGCTTTGAACATCACACACACATCCTTATCCAGCTCTGTGCAACATTGCCACAACCACCTTAATTTCAGAGCCTTGCCTTGGATCTGCAGGTTAGGGATACCTAAACCACCGAATTGTACTGGAGAGCAGACGACCAAACGCTTGCCCACACTAACATGATCAACACCAGTCCAAAGGAAGGCAAGCCTAAGCTTTTCAATCTGGTTTATAATCAATACATATGAGTTGGAAGATCGTCATTACCGAGGTCACAAATCCGACCAGAGTTAGGCGGCCAACAGTCCATTTAGCCTTCCAACAAGCTAACTTGTTAATTGGTTCTTTTTTTTTTGCAGGAATAATTAGTTCTTTTTTAGGGGTACTTGTTAATTAGTTTATCCAACAGCTCCTGAAAAGCGGAAAACCCCATTTCAGTTATCACACAAGGGCATACCTAAATAGGTACTCCATTCGGTCCCTTTTATTTTACTCTGCGTATTAGATTTGTGTAAGTCGAACTTCGCAAAGTTTGACCAAATTTATATTAAAAAATATAAATATCTACAATACCAAATATATACTCCCTCCATTTTTAATTTACTCCGCATATTAGCTTTGATCAAGATCAAATTTTGACAAAGTTTATAGAAAAAATATATTAAAATATAAACTAACAAATCATACTACGAGATTCATTATTGAATATACTTTCATATGATATAGATCTGTTACTGTAAATGTTTATTTTATTTATAAACTTGGTCAAACTTTGTGAAGTTTGACTTCAGTCTACTCTAATATGCAGAGTAAATAAAAACAGAGGGAGTACTACTTACTAAATTTCATGATGAATCTAACAGTGTTGATTTGGCAGTGTGAATATTGTACTTATTGCTATAAATTTGGTCAAAGTAGAGATACTTGCAAACTAAAAAGTACCGGACGGAGTACCAGGGAAGCTCGCGGTTTGGGGTGATAACGGTGGGCGAGTACCAAGGGAGGCCAGGGCTGCGAGTCGGCTCTAGGCAGTGCCTGCTAGCCGCGGGAGGGGGGAGCAGGCGTTTCCATTGGTTGTAAATCTAACGGTTCAAATAGAATTGACCGAAACTGATTTTTTTCCGGAAATAGTAACTGGCGAACGTTCACCAGGGAGCAACTGCCAGCCAAGGCCTAAACTGCCGCATTATCTTGATCCTACGTTGCATGTTGCATGACATTTTCACACTCGAAATTAAAGAAATGCCATGGCAGTTCTGCAAAACGGCCAGCCAGTTTCCTGATATATTGGCGATTCCAATAAAACAAACTCCTAACCGCCGGCTAGAGTGGATCGAATCCTCAGATAGGGTTACGCCGCTAATGCCATGTCGGCGCCTCTTTTGGACAGAGACCCATGCCCAGACCGCATCATCGAGGATGCCGGCGGTACTTTCGCCATGGGCGCCGTGGGAGGTTCTGTGTTCCACCTCCTCAAGGGCCTCCACAACTCGCCCAATGGCGCGCGAATCAGTGGCGGCATGCAGGCCGTGCGATCGAACGCCCCGCGGATCGGCGGGAGCTTTGCCGTGTGGGGCACCGTCTTCTCCATCACCAGCTGCGCCGCGGTCTTCGTGCGCCAGAAGGAGGACCCCTGGAACTCCGTCATCGCCGGCGCCGCCACGCACGGGTTTCTCCACCTGCGCATGGGCCTCAGGGTTGCAGGCCGCAGGGCGGTCTATGGCGGCTGTCTCCTCGCGCTCATCGAGGGCGGCGCCCTCATGGTAAACCGTCTCTTCGACGCAAAGAAGAACCCCCCGCCGCGGCCGCGCCCTGCCCATGACCCCAACTTGGCCACGGCGATCCCATGCCCGCCCCAGCCCGCCGTGTCCCCTGCGGAGGTCGCGAGCTCGAGCGGTGGGGGTAGCTGGTTTGGGGGCCTATTCGGCAAGGAGAAGGAGAAGAAGGCCAGCGGCAGTGGCGGCAAGTCGGAGGTATTAGAGAGCTTTGAGACGCCCAGCCCTCCGATGCCATCATCATCTGAATACAAGTGAAAAGAAGGTGCGCGCGGTGCTAATTGGACTGCTCTCTGGTCTGCATCTTTCACTCGGTTTCAGGAAAATGTGTTGTCTTTAAGCTTCATCCGCTCCTTGTTTCTTCCATTTTCACGGGAGGAAGTGGCAATTATCGCGTGCTTTTGTTGCACGGCGAGCAGGTTCGTGCGGTTTAGTCATGCTGTTCTTGCACGGATTTAGCTTCGTTTTTCCATTCTCGCACTCTCGATGATACAGAGTTAAGTTTGTGACAGTTTATGCCTACTTTAGAATCCAACATACAGACGGATATGCCTCCTCAATCTCAGCTTCACAATCTTCACTTAAAAGTTCCTACTAATAGCCTCAACGCTGTAGCCAATTATGTGTTGTTGGGCCATCCCAAACGGCTTTCATATAAGAAAGGAATATACTCGGTTGAGTAGTTATCCTAGAACCGTTCGCGACATGCACTAGAAAAACGTGAGTGGGGTAGTATTCAAGACCGACTTTCAAAAGACTTGTGATAAAACCAAATGGTCGTTGTTCCAACAAACTCTTAGAATGAAAGGTTTCTTTGAGTTATGACGCGAATGGATCCAAAATTTCGTCACTAGAGATAGTATGACTATCAAAGTTAATAAGGACATAGATCATTACTTTCTGACAAAAAAAATAATTACTACACCAGGCTGACCCCTTCAACATTATTTAACATTGTTGCTAACATGTTGGCCATCCTAATCAAACGTTCATAGGAGTAGTGCCGCACCTTGTGGATGTGGGCCTCTTTATCTTGCAATATGTTGATCGTACAATTCCTTTTATAGAACATGACTTGAACAAGGCGAGGAATCTGAAACTCTGGTTTTCAACTTTCGAACAAATGTCAGATCTTAAAATTAACTTCCATAAAAAATAATTATTCTGGTTTAGAGAAGCCAAAGAGCCGGCCGAAGTGGCATGGAATATGGGGTGTCGGCCCAAGAAATTAGGTGGACTCGGGATCCACAACTTTTTCTCATTAATGTGGCACGACGGTGGAAGTTCAGGTTACCTAGGAGGCGACAGACATGTTTGCAGTTTCGGCGGTATGCACCATAGGGAACGAAAGAACGATTATTTTTTTGGTCGATCGGTGGACCGAGGGCGTCTCGGGGAAAAAGTCCAAAACAAACCTTGAATTTGTCGGCGAAAGTTAAATCAAACCCTGAACTCTCAATCCTTGAAATCAACACACCAAACTCTTTTATCCCGGTCTATTTTAAACCTTGAGAGGACTTAGCCGGTATTGGCTGAATTGGGCCGGCCCATTAGTGGCGCCGTTCGCGCGCGCGCGCACTGCTTAGGTTATTTTAAACCTTGAGAGGACTTAGCCGGTATTTTACACATGTCTATTTTTTCTTCGTACCCAATGTACATTTTTAACGCATACATAAAATATTTTTTGATAAACTTTTGATATTTTCAAATACATTATGTACATGACTTCCTGAAATCTAAAATTTATAATCCGACGGGGTTTTTTCCGCGAGACCTAAAGCCTCTGGCGACTAGGGTTTCGAGCGGAACTTGACGGCGCACGACGGATTTGCACGGCGGGGCGCCCCTGGATTCCGTGGGAAGATGGCGGCATCAGCCAGCGGCGATCATCGGGCAGCGGGCCCGGTCTCCCCACGGATGCCCAGGGCCATGCTCGAAGAGAAGCTCGGGAAACTAGGGATCACCGATGAGGAGGCGACACCACTGGTCATCGATGATAGAGAAGATGGCAAACCGGAGAAGTGGCTGTTGGCAGGTAGGGTTTTGCATCGGAATCTCCTCCACATCCAAACCATAACCAACGCACTTCGGCCGGCATGGGGAAACCCTAGGGGACTGCAATTTCGATCGATGGGAGAGAACACTTTTGTGGCAGAATTTGAATCCCAGCGCGATCGTGAACGAATCAGGGAAGGATCTCCTTGGCATATCAGCAAAAACGATGTTATCTTGGCTGACTTCGAGGATTGCATGAGACCTGATGAGGTTCAGTTTGATCGGCTCAGTTTATGGGCTAGGGTTCCGAATCTTCCGTACAATTTGCGGAACGAGGTTTGGGGAAAGTTGATAGCGCAACAAATTGATAAGGCGGCCACCCATATACAGTTTGATCATGTTGGTGGATATTTGCGTGCGAGAGTCTCTATAGAGGTCAAAAAACCATTAAGGCGATGGATCTTGATCGAATCGGCAAAGAGGGGCAAAACTGATCTCTATGACATACAATATGAGCAAGTGCCACACTTTTGCTTCTCTTGCGGACGTCTAGGTCATTCCGACCCTTACTGCCCCAATCCTGGTCCGAGGGACGAGAAAGGGGAGCTATAGTTTGGACCCTGGTTAAGAGCACCAGAGGATAAGAGAAAGGCTACTTCTGGCGATGGTATACCGAAAGAACAGCATGCACACACAACTAGTCAAAGGGAGTCTCAGAATTCTACTAATGCGGGTACGGAACAAGCAAAGGTGGATTCTCCAGTGAAGAATAGATCGCACAATAAGAGGAAGGAGGCGCCAAAACAAGTGTACCGTCCAGTTGCTAATCGTCAGCTTCTCCTTACTGATGGCAACAGCTCTGCACACCCTGAACATATAGCTGGTCAAGTAAGGGAGGACGACATGCAAACTTCTCATGAAGAAGACGATGAAGGGGCTGTGAGGGAATCAAAGAAAAAGAGACCCACACCTGAAAATTCGGCAGAGGCTGCGCAGCAGCCCTGCCGATCACAATGAATTGTTTAAGTTGGAACTGCCGGGGGCTTGGGAACCCCGAGGCAGTTCGAGAGCTTCGCAGTATTGTGAAGCAAGAAGTTCCTGCCCTGCTGTTCGTTATGGAGACCAAAATCAGGGCAAAAAGAGTTGAAGATCTGCGTTATCAGTTAGGTTTCGCGGGATGTTTTGCAGTGGACAGTGAAGGACTAAGCGGTGGCATAGGCCTCTTCTGGTCCAAGGATTATGAGGTTCAGTTGAAGAACTACAGTTCCGGCCATATCGATGCAATGGTGCGGATGAAGGATCAAAGCTCGAACGAGTGGCGATTCACGGGCTTCTATGGAGCACCCAGAGCTGAGAATAGACACCATAGCTGGCGCTTCATGAGAACTTTGTATGCACAGCCGCATGATGCATGGCTATGCATGGGCGATTTCAACGAGACTCTGTATGGTGATGAGCACTTCAGTCGTTCGGCTCGGCCGGAATGGCAAATGCGAGCTTTCAGAGAGGTTGTTGATGAGGTTGGTTTCCAAGATTTAGGGTGGACTGGACTGCCCTATACTTGGGATAATAGGCAGGATGGAGATGCAAACGTAAAGGCCAGACTTGATCGTGCTTTTGCAAACGAGGCTTTCCGTCGGCATTATGAGTTCATCCGAGTACGGCATATTAGTGCAGTGGAGTCGGATCACTGTTTCATAGTCGTGGAGATCAGAGATAAACCACTTGATCAGAGGGGGCGACGACCGAAGCAGTTTCGATACGAGAACGTTTGGCAAACTCATATGGACTATGAGAATTTGGTCACGAAAACATGGCTGCAGCAGAATCGCGCCCCTGGGTTGCAGGGGATAGTTGAATCGCTGGGCGTGCTCCAGCGTAAACTTGAGCCATGGGGAATGCGTGAATTTGGATGTCTCACAAGGTCAGTTCGGCAGCTGCAGAAAAAGCTTGATAAGCTGCGGAGACAGTCCATTGGTCGTGGACCATCAGACGAGGAGAAAAGGACTGCGGCCAAGCTTCGGGAGGCCCTCAAGTTAGAAGAAATTTGGCTTCGGCAGCGGTCACGTGTCAGTTGGCTCCGAGAAGGAGATCACAACACCGGATACTTTCAAGCTCAAGCTAAACAGCGCCAGCGTATGAATAAAATCAGTGGTTTAAGAAGAGCTGATGGTTCGGTGTGTGCTGATGCGGATAAGGACAAAGCGGAAATACAATCATTCTATCAAAACCTATATACATCACAAGGAGCGTTTGATATGGATGAGATGTTGAATCATGTCCCTGTAAAGGTGACGCCGGAGATGAACATGCTTCTCGACAGACCGTATGAACCACGAGATGTTCAGGAGGCCCTATTCCAGATGGCTCCTTCTAAAGCCCCTGGGGTGGACGGATACACTGCGGGTTTTTTCCAGCGTCATTGGCAACTTCTGAAAGATGATGTCACAGCCGCGGTGCTGGGATTTCTTAATGGAGGGGATCTACCGGTGGGACTAAACGACACCTCGATAACTCTCATACCCAAGGTGAGACACCCTCAGATGATCCATCAATACCGCCCCATTGCATTGTGCCCAGTCTTATACAAAATAGCTGCAAAAGCAATTGCGAATCGTATGCGGGGCTGTATGGATGAAATTATAAGCGAGGAACAGAGCGCTTTTGTTCCGGGACGCTTATTAACTGACAATGTTTTGGTTGCTTTCGAAAGTGTTCATACTTTGCGAAGAAGGAAAAAGGGGAAGAATACGGCATGCGCGGTCAAGCTTGACATGATGAAAGCTTACGACCGTGTGGAGTGGCCCTATCTGGAGGCTATTCTTCTCAGACTTGGTTTCAGTAAAACATTCGTTCGTTTGGTTATGAAATGTGTTACTTCAGTGCGCTTCTCGGTTCGAGTGAACGGGGAGCTGCTACCCTACTTCACCCCATCGAGAGGACTTCGGCAAGGTTGCCCAGCTTCACCATTTTTATTCCTCTTGTGTGCAGAAGGCCTTTCATCACTTCTGAAATTTTATGGTGCCAACATCGACAGGGGTGTAAGAGTGAGCATTCGGTCGCCCTGGGTTAGTCATCTACTTTTTGCAGATGACTGCTTGATTTTCCTCAACACAAATACAGCCAGTGCAGAGCGACTCAACCAGATTTTACGGATTTATGGGGAAGCTTCGGGCCAGTGTGTTAATCGGGATAAAAGTGCAATATATTTCAGCCCAAATACCCCACATTCATCCAGGCAAGCTTTGAAAGGGATTCTTGGA